TACACACCTTGCTAATTGTCACGCCACTTCTACTACTGAAAATGTAAAAATGAATGACCCTTAATACAAGGTCAAATAGAGTAAAAGTCTCCAAGGAATCTACCCTAAATAGTAAATAGAATATCCTATCAAGAAAGAAATAAAGTGTCTTACAAATACAAAGGCAAAAATGAACCTATACAAGAACTACTATGTACAAATTAATGATATGAAAGGTCCTCAAACTTAACCCATTCCTCTTGGGTCCTTTAATGTCTCACCTCTTGGTCTTCTTGGCCTTGGCATGATTCCGTCATAGTGTTTACAGAGGTCATGATGTCATTCGTTACTTGTTCTTGGGTGGAGGTCATATGTGGTCAGACGATAGTTTTGCTTCGGTCCCACAATATGCGTCAAATGATCCTACTAGAATCTTGTAAGTGCTCCTAAGGTGGTGTGATATCCTTATTTCTCCAATGTCTACAATAAGGGAACCTACAAAGACCTTCAAACGCTTAAGTTAGAGGGGAGTTTAGGTGAAGAATGAAGTTAGGGTTGAACCCTGTATATATGTTTAATAATGTTGTATGATATTTCAAAGATATCTCTCTGTGATTTCATAAGAATATTGTCATTGATTAACAGAGATATTATTCTAGATTAACAAAGATATTTTGTTAGGTGATCACAATGTGCTAAGATATGACATTCATCAAAGATATTTGTGTTGGTAGCCGTTAAGGTTTTGACCGTTTAGGGTTTTACTGTATGATGATAAACAAGGAGCTTGGTGTAGGCTAGTTGAAGGAGGCCAGCTCAATTTGGATGAGGTAATGTAGGTGAGCTAAGGCAATTGGCTTGGCTTCACTGAGATAGGTAGTACAATCTCTTTAAAGTTTTTTAAAATCACTTTTGGTTCTCTAAATCTTTTGTGAAATTAGTCTATGTGAAAATAGAACAAGTTGAGTATGTTCTTTTAAAAATGTTAATTTTATTTTGTTTGATATTTTTTTTGACAAGTTGGACGTTATATATTATTATTTCCATGTATAAAATAAAATGTTTTCATATAGACAATTAAAATAAATTTTATACTAAAATGAAATTTGTAGCTCTAAAAAACGAAGCAAAAAATATGCTCCTTTAGAAGATGTTTTTCACTATGATAATCACTTGTGAATATGCAAATACTATAATACTGAATAAAATAAAATATTGAATTATATTTACTATCAACTAAAAAAAATGGAATTAGCATATCTTAAGAACCAGACTCAGTTTGTTATACTTTTACAAGAACTAATTTAATACAAAATAATTTTAGAGGAACATAAGCAAACTTGGAATTTAGAGAAATTAAAAATAATTTCCACCTGTATTTTCATTTTTCATGTAAGACATCATCACTGATGAAGTTACAAAATAGGATGGAACCTCATCATACAATACAATTTTAATAAAAAAAATTTAGATGGCTAAAATCTATTTAAAAATTTTTAGTGGGACAAAAAATAACTTTTAACTTTTTCATGTATTGTAATTGAATTAATTAAGACAAATATTTTTCCCCTAAAATATACCTATTTCTTTTGCTTTTGATCCCTAAATTTTTTGCATAATTTTTGGTCTCTATTTTTTATTTTTATTCTTTATGGTAATTTTTGCCACTGTAACATAGTTAAAAAAATGTGGCTAATTTAGTAGCCAGAACGGGCCGTTCCCAATCTAGAACAGGCCGTTCCAAACTATTAAATTAACCTGTGAAACGTAGTTGGGAACGGGCCGTTCCAAATTTCAAAACGGGCTGCTCTGGTTGGAGTACGGGTCGTGCTGGATGGAGAACGGGCCGTTCTGGATGAGTTCCAGAACGGGCTGTTCTGATTTTAGAACGGGCTGTTCTTCTTGAGGTTTTTGCACTTGATGAAGCAGTACAGAACGGGCCGTTCCAGTTTCGAAACAGGCCGTTCTGGCCTTTCCGGAAAGTCTATTAATAGGGGTTGAGGGCCTTAAGGAGAATGCGAGTTTTTAGAGAGAAGTTTTATAGAGAAGGTCTCTGGGTCTGTGAGCTCCTTTCTCTCCCAAATTTCTCTGTATGATTCCTTTTCTTCTTTAGACCACTAATGTCTTCTGTCATTTCTTGAAATTCAGATTAGAAAGCTTGATTTGGGTGGATTGAAGTTTCGTGTTGAGCCTCGAAGGGAAATTCTACTTTTGTTTAGTTTTGGCTATTTGAGCCAATATTCAGGTGAGGGAAGCTAGAATGTTAGTTGTTTAATTTCAGGAGAGTTAGGAAAGCTTTATGCGTGGTGTTCTTTTGTTGAAATAATTGAGTTATTGAGTGCTTAAGTTGATTTATGCTGTTTATGTGTCAGTTGACATGATAGATGAATTTTAAATATGTGATATCTTGTTGCAGTTGTTCATAAAGTTGTTAAGCTGCATTAATTTGATATTGTAATGACTATAGTTGTTTAATTAAGTTGTTTGCATGTTGTTAGTTGTCTATTGTTGTTAAGATGTTTATTGTTGTAAGTTCTGTAAAGTTGTATGTTGTCTATTGTTAAAAAGTTGTATGTTGTTTAAGTTGTTAAGTTGATTAAACTGTAATGATGAGTTGTTGATCACTAGGACTAGGGAAGATGTTTTCGAAGTTGCTCATCCCATTGTGTGGATTGAGATAGTTGTGGTGCTCTGAGAGCCCAATCTGTTGAAAAACCCTCCTTGGGAAGTTGTCCCTTGGAGTGGACGTTGTGTTGTTCTCCTCTAGGACTTAGTTGATCCCGTGTGTGGGTAAGGTCGAGGCACACGTGTACAAAGCGACCACAGTATAAGGGCCAGGCCGAGCTATACCGATTACAAGCGGCCAGATGTTGAGATACATAGTACTAAGGTGATAAGTTGAAAGTTGTTTTAAAAGTTGAAAGTTGTTTTAAAGTTGAAAGTTGTTTTAAAGTTGAATCTCTTAGTACTGTGTGGACGACATGGAAATACTCGATCCATGTCATGGTTGAATGACCAATTTGAGTAAGGTATCTAGTTAGGGATGTAGTCTTTGACTAGGTACTGGAGGGGGCGTGGTAATTGGAGGACAGTGGGCCGGCTAACTCCACATGTGGATTGGTTAAGCTAGCCCAGGTCGTGGTAGGCTCATACCCAAACCCTTCTATCTTGACAGTAGTACTGGACCTCCGAGTCTAAGTGGCACACCTGAGAAATCAACTTTTGTTGTCTATACCTGATTCTCTTCGGAGTTCCTAAAGCTGTTCTATACCTGACCTGGTTGAGATAGGTCAAACGCTGGATTCGGTAGGGTTTATGCCACCTAGACTGCTTAATTTCTGTTGTTGGAGATCTTCGAGTTGTATATGCGTGAAGAAGCATTTAAATATTAAGTTGTATATTCTTGTTGTTGTTGTATTAAAGTTGCTTCTAAGTTGTATGAATGAGTTGTGTTTTTATGTTGAACAGTATGGTCATTTGTGATGATGATTGGATGAATGAGTAGTATAGTGTTTTGCCCTATACTTGTATGGTTGTTTATCGAATTCTAGCTTACCCTTCTGTTTCCATGTGGATGGACTGCTATGATCATACGGTGTACGGGAGCAGATCAGGACTAGGTTGGAGCTATTGACTGAGTCTACTGCTAGGAGTGGATTTTTTTTGGTACCTAGTGTAAGAGTTACCACCTTGGGTAACAGTTTTGTGATTTGACCGACACTAGGAAATAGTAGTTTTGGATAACTGTATAAATACTAATACTTAAAAACTTTATTATTCTTATATATATATATTTTGTTCATGTTTTGTATTTATGAGTTATCCAATTTTATTATTTGTCTTAGCTTACAAAATTTATAGTGCGATTCCATTAAGTGTAGAGACCACGGCGGGTCGTTACAGCCACTATTTTGAATAACTTATCAAACATCAAATGACATATATTTATTTGAAACAAAAACAAATATTTTACATATATCAAAAGTTAAAAAAAGAAAAAATTAAGGGCAAAAAGTGAAAAACAAATATATACTACAGCACAAATAATTTTTAGCAATATTTGAAAAATGTTACTTAATTATGTATAAATGTTACTAATTTGCTTTAGCAACATATTATCAAATTTTGTATAGTCCATGTTACTAAAGACTTTTAATAACATTTTTGCATATTTAGGTAACATTTTTCAAATGTTATCAAAGTAGTATTTTTGTAACATTTTAATGATTTTTTTGTAACATTTTAATAATGTTGCCAAGATTTTGTTAACTTTATAAAAATGATAATTAATTTTAATTTAAATTATTATATTTTTATGTCTCCTAAACTTTTAGAGTTCTTTAAGAGAAGATTAAAGACATTCTTAATTATTTTTTAGGGGAAGACATTCTTAGTTAGTAACTACTAATTATATATAGAATATCAAATTTCATTTATCTTAAATATAACTATATGAGTATATATACTCTTTATGAGTCATTAATTTATTCGACATGAGACTTTAATTATGGGTTATAATTAGAGATAAGAGAAGTATATTTTTTTTACTCGATGTAGGACTTTAATTTTAGAAACAATTATAGTAACATTTTTTAAAAAATGTTGCAAAATAACTTATGTGAAATATTTTTACTCGATATGGGACTTTGTTTTGAAAACAATTGAAAAGAATAATATTGAAATAAAAAATATTACTCTATCTATAATGATATTTTTCAAAAATTATTACAGAAAAATCTATTTATTTAATATATAATAATATTTTAACAAATGGAAACAAAAAAATGTTGCTAAAAAATTAAAATTTAGTAGTGATATTTTAAGAATTAAAAGATATTTAAGTCAATAATTAATTAGTTTTGGTATTGTTGTTTAAAGAGGAGACATTGGAAAACAGAAGTAGAGAAACCATGATGAGAGCAGTACAGGATTTGCATGACAGTTAGGTTGACAATGACAGCTGTAACTTTGTAAACGGTTATAACAGTTAAGAGTGAGGAAGTTGAAATATAATACCAACAATGAAGAAAAGTGAGAGAGAAAATAAAGAAGTTGAAGTTGGTAGAAAGGAGAAGAAGAGTATGGATGCATCAGGTTCTGCATCAGGATCAGGTTCAGCATCAGGGTCAGGATCAGGTTCGGAAGGTGACAGAGAGAAAGTGTATAAATTGTATAATGAGAAGAGAAAGAAAATTTGGAGAGAGATGTTGGAGATGTCAGAGGAGAAGAAAATCATGGCCATGGCGTGGTTAAAGGAAGGGCAAGAGCAATGCATGAAAACCGTCGCTAAATGTTATGACCACAGATACCAAAACGCTGTTAGCTTATGGCTCCATCGCTTGGCCCACGTCGAATTTGACAAAGATGGGTCTCTTCGGGAAACCAAAACAACTCTACAACACAGGTGTGAAAAAAAATTAATTGTTTTTAATTATTATAGATACTATATAATGTCGTATTATTTAATGTCAAGGTTTAATTTGCTTTCATATATGATTCATAGGGAGCAAGAGCGAGACACTTGTGACGAGGGTAATAAGGAGCAATTATTGCAAGATGATACAAGAAATGCTCAAGAACATGGTGCAAATCAGAACCCACCAAATTAATAAGTCCCTTTTGTTTCATTCATATTCTTTCGATTCTTATGCTTTCATTTTCTTTATCTCATACAATATAAGGATCCATTACCTATGCTTGATTTGTTGCTGATATACATAGTGATTAGGACTTTTCATAACTGCATAATCCCTATGTGAATCCCCCTATGATATCATGTTTGTGTTACAGAAAGCTAATTGTGGTTCACATTTTTCAATTCATATGTGCGAAAACTTTGTGGCCAAAGCCAGAGAGAGAACAGTGAGTAAGATGCAGAAGATCCCACATTATGTTAATTAGTGAAGTAGAGAAATTCTATATATATTTATTTAAAATATTTAAGAATTATCAATATTTATTAAAATAATTAATTTTCCTTATTATTTAAAAGATTAAGAGTAAAATAGTCTAAAAATTATATTCTTGAAAATAGGAAATTGCTCGTCTATAGATATAAATTATAATACCATTGAATGTCCAACACATTTTTATTTTATTTTATTAATTGTCAATTTTGGCAGAATATTTTTCCTTACCAACTATGTGACAATGTTCATCGGTTCATTTCTTGAAGTATATCAGCATTCACATTAATTAGGGTTAAAATTAGGCATCACCACATGACTTGGCACTATAGCTTCACTCTTCTGAAACAGTTGGCAGTCCCTCTTTTAACCATGTGTAAAGACCACCTTCTAGATGAAAGACATTCGTATAACCGTTAAGAACCAGCAAGTATGCTGCTATAAGTGACCTGTGAAAATGTCAAAAATAATCATTAAATAATGGCTTATGAGCAAGACGTAGTTGTAATTTTTTCATAACTACACTATAAGAGGCATCTGACATACAACATATGCATAAATATATTAGACAATTATACATATTAAAACATGTAACACTTTATGGTTTATTAATATTGCCATATAATTAATTATGCTTTTTTTTTTGTAAGAAAAAAATAATTCAAATCACACTAGCCGTACTAGAATGATAATATAAAAGGACAACAATTAAAATATGTGAAATTAGAAATTAATTTTTTATCTCAGTAATTTTTATGTATCAAATTTAAATCCTAATTTTTCATGATGTTAGAGACATGATGAATAAAGATTGCTTTATGGAAAACGTTATACGTGTACACACGTCTCTTATTTATATATGTCCCCCTTCTTTATTATTTTTTTTAAAAAAATTTAAATAACTTTTCTTAATTTATTTTTAAAAAAAATTATCTTCTTTTTTTACCTTCTCTTCCTCTTCTCTTCTTCTACACCTTTTTCTGGTGCTATTCTCTAACCATTTTTTTATTTATTATATGTCTCCCTCTTTTTACTTTTTATTACTTGAATTTTTCTTTTAAGTTATCATTATTCTTTTTTAAACTTTACTTTCTTATATTCTTAGTTTCAACATTTTTTAAACTTAAGATTATCACCTTATTTTTAGTATTGAATTCATTACATACAAGTTTGTGAACTTTTTGAAGATGTCAATTCTAAAGGTATGAGTTGATAATTTTATGATGATTTTTTTTATTAGAAACAACATATTTATTATTATTATAATAGTTTTGAAATTGTACTAGTTAGTTTTTAAAATATATTTTTAGAAAGTAATTTTTGGAAGAGAAATATTTTTATACTTTCGAAGACTTTTTTTGAAAGTATAGTTTTTACAAAGTATTTTTTAAAAGTATATTTTTACTCCTCAACATACTTTTTAAAAGTATTTTCTGGAAGAGTAAAAATATTTTCAAAAAATTCTTTTTAGAAGAGTAAAATCTTTCTCTTCTGAAAAGTTAATTCCAAAAGTATACTTTTGTCTTTTAGAAAGTAATTTTTAAAACTATATTTTTTCTCTTCCATAAGTATATTTTAGAAATATATTTTTACTCTTATAGTTTGGAAGTGAGTGTTTAAACATAATTTCAAAAATTATAGAAGAAAATATACTTTCAAAACGTACTTTTTAAAAGAGTAATTTTATTTCTCTTCTAGAAAGTTTTTTGTGAGAAATATGTGTTTAGAATTATATATTTTTCTTCTCAAAAATACTTTACAGGAAAGAATATTGAGAAAAAAAATAAAGGTAAAAAAGGTATAATATTAATTAGAGGTGTACTTAATAAAAATCTTCTTTACATATGTTAGTAAATCAATTTTCGGTCCATTTTCAAAATAAAATGGGAAAAAAAAACATGTTATTATTTTATTTTGGTAAGGACATGGATTTAACTATTATTGACTCTCATAAACCGGAAGGTTTAATTTGGCCTTGTGCTCTGTTTAGAATGAGAACCTAGTTCCTAATAAAACATATTATATATATATATATATATATATATAACAAATAAAGTGATATGAAATAAAGCTGGATGAGCTATGACTTAGTTAGATATGTCCTATTTTTAAGGGAATTTGTTAGATTTAGTTGGGAGTCAGATATAAAGTTATAGTAAGCGATTAGTAGGGGGCTTTTTCATGTATCCGGATCATTTCTTGTAAACTCTCAAATAAACAATAAACTCTTCAGAACCTTTTCTCTCATTGGGTTCCCTGTTCCATTTCTGTTCTTCGAATTATATCACATTCCTAGAACTAAGAAAATTCATAACAATTGGTATCAACTAGGACGATTCATTCATACTAATCTTCTATGGTAGAATCAACTTGCAATATGGCAACCATGAGGGAGTTGGAAGAATGGTTGTCAACTAAATTGGAGGCTCGTTTGGTGGAACTTGCGGGTTCGATGCAACGAACTTTGACTGATTCAATGAAAGAAAGGTTGCAAGAATTGTTGAGTAATGTGGGAAATACATCGGGATCATCAGGTATTCTAGGACAGAATTGTGGGTCTTTTTATTGTTGGGGAACTAGGCTTGCTAGGATTGATTTTCCCAGGTTTAATGGTGAGAATGTGAACCGGTGGCTCTATCAATGTGACAATGTCTTTCTTATTGATAATACACTTGATGATTTCTGTGTTAAACTTGTTGTTCATATGGAGGGTCGTGCTTTATAGTGCCACACGACTCTTGATAAAACTACCAACTATTCCAATTTGCCCTGGCTTAAGTATAAGAAACTGATTCTTGAAAGGTTTGGTGATGTTTGTGATGATCCAATGGCATATTTAATGAATCTGAGGTAGAAAAAGGCAGTTACTAAGTATTATGAGGAGTTTGATGCTATTATTACTCGCTTGAATTTTTCAGAGCAGTATTTGCTTAGTTGATTTTTGGGAGGGCTTAAGAAGGATATTCAAGTCCTGGTAAAGATGTTTCAACCAACTAAAATAAGGTTTTTTCTTTAGTAAGATTGTATGAGGCTGCTAATACTTCAGGTTCTGTGATTAATGGGGTCAATAAACAGCAAAAGGGTGTATTGGGCTATAAACCATTAAGTTTCGATAATTCTACTTCTTCTAGTACAGTAACTAATGCTAGTAAGATTAAGGCAAGACCAGGGAAGAGTTTGACTCTTGTTTACAAGAATGAAAGGAGAGGGCCAAGGGCCTTTGCTATTTTTGTGATGAACCTTATTCACTTGAACATAGTTTGACGCACAAGAAGTTGCAAGTGCATGTTTTGGAGATTATTGATGAGGATGACCAGTTGGAAGTAGTGGATAATGTAAATGAGGGAGGAGGAGGGAGGATTATTACAGTCTTTAACCACTCATACTGCTCAACCTTCACTATCGAAGGAAATGGACCCATTGTTAAAAGAGTTTGATGATATATTTGAAGAACCAACTTAGTTACCTCCATTTAGGCCTGGTCATGATCATAAAATTCCACTAGTGAAAGGTGCTAATCTAGTAAATAAAAGGCCTTATAGGTATGCTAAAAATCAGAAGGATGTTATTGATAATTTGGTATAAGAATATTTGAAATCTGGTGTTATTCAGGATAATAGTAGTGCATATGCCAGCCATGTAGTTTTGGTGAGCAAGAAGGATGGATTTTGGAGAATGTGTGTGGATTATAGGGAATTAAACAAGAGTACAATGAAGAATAGGTTTCCAGTTCCGTTGGTAGACGATTTACTAGATGAATTAAATGGCTCTACAATTTTCTCCATGATTGATCTAAGGTCTGGCTACAACCAAGTAAGGATGAACCCTTCAGATGTGCACAAGACAACTTTTAGAACTCATGGGAGACACTATGAATATGTGGTAATGCCCTTTGGCCTTACCAATGCACCTGTAACATTTTAAGGCCTTATGAATACAATAATTCAACAGTTTTTAAGGAAGTTTGTATTAGTCTTTTTTTATGGCATTCTTATCTATAATGTGAACTTGCAAGAACAGTTGAATCACCTAAAATTGGTCCTTCTAACTTTGAGGAATAATTACTTATTTGCTAGAAGATCCAAATGCTATTTTGCTATGAATAGGGTCGAATATTTGGGTCATTTTATCTCAGGTGAAGGAGTGGCTACTGATCCTAGTAAGATTGAAGCTATGGCTAAATGGCCTTTATCTCAGACTATTAAGCAACTTAGAGGATTCTTGGATTTAGCTGGTTATTACAGAAGGTTTGTGAGGGGATATGGAGTTATAGCTAAGCCTCTAATGGATACGTTGAAGGAGGATAATTTTATGTGGAGTCAAGATACTAAACTAGCATTTTTGAAGCTAAAGGAGTTGATGAGTAACACACTTATCCTAGCACTTCCAGATTTTTCCAAAGTTTTTATGGTGGAAGTTAATGCTTCATGAGGGAATTGGAGCCGTATTGATGCAAGATCACCAACCTATTGCTTAAATTAGTAGGACCTTGAATCTACAACAACAATCTTTATCTACATATGAGAAGGAGTTGATAGTTGTGGTTTTTGCTATGCAAAGGTGGAGACATTACCTTTTGAACAAACGTTTATAGTAAAAATAGATCATTATAGTCTCAAATACATTTTGGATCAAAGGTTGACTATAGATTTCCAGCAGAAGTGGCTAGCAAAACTCATGGAATTTGACTTTTCAATTGAGTA